TCCATCTCATTGAGAGTGTTCCTCTTTTTGGCTGACATCTTTCTCCAGGGACTGGTCCCTCCTGATACCATGTCCACAGTGAGACGAAGACTCACCATCCTCACTTCTAAGAAGCATTCTGGCTCTACTTCTTCCAACATAGATTTGTTTGTTCTTTTGGCAGTCCATGGTATTTTTAATATTTTTTGCCAATACCATAGTTCAAATGTATCAATCCTTCTCTGCTTTTCCTTATTGATTGCCCAATTTCCGCATGTGTATAATTAGAATCATATAAACGTGGAGCTTCATAGAACATACATTTCTGGGCCATACCCCAACAGAGTATGATTTCGTAAGTCTGGGTTGGTCTAGGAATTTTTATTTCTCCAAAGCACCAAGGTGACTCTGGGTAACTGCCAGACTTGAGAATCACTTGAAACAGTGTGAACTTTGACTCCCTGGAACTCAGGTTGAAATCCTGCCTTATCCAATTTCAGTAGTATTCTTTTAAACAAGTTTCTTAACCTTTCTCAGACTCTGTGTGTGTGGTACTAGAATTTATTTGATATGTTTTGGGGTTTTTTTTAATCCAAGGTTGTCTTAATTCTCACCAAATGATTGGGTTCTTAAGTGCCATTGAGTCAGTTCTGACCCATAGAGACTATAGGGTTTCCGAGGAGCAACTGGTGAGCTTGAACCATCAACCTTGCTAGTCAAACTGACTCTGCAGTCCAGTGCATTAACTCACAGCACCACACTGCTGCTGGTGGTGGTAGTGGTGTGCCGTGGAGTCAGTTTCAACTCATAGCCACCTTGTATAGGGTTTCCGAGGCCGTATATCTTTACGGGAACAGAAAGCCACATCTTTCTCCTGTGGAACCACTAGTAATTTAAACTGCTGACTGTAAGATTAGCAGCCCAACTTGTAACCACCATGCTACTAGAGATCCTTACAGCACCACACTAGGACTCCAAATAATTGGGTGGTTGTTGTTGTTAAGTGCCATCAATTCGAAAATAATTGGGTAGGACCATGCAAATAGGGTGCACAGGACTCCAATGCCAGGGTTGGTTAGTTTGCTATCCCACTAGGTTTAGAGGAGCCTTCTAAAAAGCAGGAAAAGATGATCCCAGGACCATCAAGAAAGGAGAGCCAAGAGCATGAGCTCCTTACCTGGTAAAGTACTGGCAGCGGCCGAGGCAGCAACATGGAGCAGCTGTGGGCTTCCTGACGCACGGACTGAGTAAAGCTGAGTGTCTACAGGAAGGAGGCTGGCTTGCACAATGTGCCCTTTGGCTAAAGAAGTTTTGTAACACTTGCCTGTGCAGGGTAGAGGCCGAGGGGCCACATGGCTGAGGTCAGGTTGAAGACAAGAGAGAGGCGTGCCTGCAGTATGGCAGAGAAGGCTGCTGTCTCCCGAATTGTTTCTGATTCTGTTCATTACCTTAAACCTCTAATCTTGAGTTTCGTCTATGAGTTCTGTGTGGCCAATGCAATAGATTATCGAGCCCAGATGTGAAGCAGAGATTGTGGCTGGAGGGACAGGTGGTGTTATAATAGAGTAAAGAAGGGCAAAGGGTGGAAGCATGTCTGACCTCCACTTCACAGGAATAGCTCTTGGGCTAATTTTGAGTTGGATTCTCCTTTCCCTTGTGAAGCCAGAGGAAGTCAGACACAGCCTCTCCATCGGTTTTTTGTACTGTGTCACCTAGAAAATGAGGATAAACATGCCTTCTTTGCAGGAGAGGTGCAGATGGTTAACATGCTCAGGAAACCAAAATATACTCAGCTGCTAACCTAGAGGCACCTTGGAACAGAGGCCTGATGATCTAGTTCCCCAAACTCAGCCACTGAAAACCCTACGGAGCAGCTAAACTCTGACACACACAGGATCTCCATGAGTCGAAATCAACTCAAAGACATCCAATCTGGTTACTGGTACACAACACACTCAGTAAGCAATGGCTGTGAGTATTATTTCTCCTGCAAAAGCAAGTAGCAGTAAAAACTGCCTTAGCGGAAGCAGCTAAGAACCTCACCATCATTCTGCGGTTCTGGTCTTTGCACTTGAATCTCTGCAGTAACGTTGGCCCAGCTGCCATTAGGCGCCTGGTAGGGCCCCTGTAAGTGTGCTGACTCTTCTCCATCAGCTCTGTGCCGCCACCATGGGGACTGATGTCTCTGGGCTCCCTCACCAGGGTTCCTTTGTCCTCTGGCTTCCAGCTGGGATCTGCTGATGGGAAGTACCAACCCAGGATCTGGACATTTACCCTACCCCTTCCACCTTGCTGACTCTCTGACAATGGCTCTTTCCTTTCCACAGCCACGTCATCTGTCTTGAGGTCCCTTCTGCATGATTCCAGCTCTTGCTGCCTCGTAAAACACTACCCACATTAGGGTAAGGGGGTTCTTTTAATCCCATCCATACCACCAAAGGCAGCCCCTTCTTTAAACTCTCTTCAGATGAGCTCTTTTAAAGGCATCATAAGCTTCCTGCCAACGCAGTGAAAACTGTGACACTGTGAGAACAGCTTTAGGAAAGAGAGATGTAAAAAATAATCATGAGCTTTGGAAACTGATGAGTATGTTCTGTGCAGGCTAGGACTTTGATTTTCATCATTGGAAATTCTGGGAGTCAAAGTACAGAGGCCACTGAAAAGGCAGCCTGAACTCAAGACACTCTGACTTTTCCTTCAACAAGAGGCCCATCTTCTCCTCTCTGAGGCAGTTAGGAACTCTGGACCCAGAAGTGGAAGAAGCTGAACCCTCAAGGGTCATTTATTCTCTGTCAGGCACCACAGAAGCTGTTGTACAAAAATCGACTCACTTGGGGCTGACAACAACCTGGCAAAGCCAATACTGTTATCATCCCAAGTTTCAGATGAGGAAAGTGAGAGGGAAAGTTGTTAAAAACATTGCCCAATTACACATAACTACTGTTATGGATTGAACTGTGTCCCCCAAAATATGAGTCATAAATCCCATGGTTATTATCCCACTGAGGAGTTGGGTTTTCTTTCTTAACGAGGTGGTACTGCTGTATGGTGTGTCTTAAATCAATCTTCTGAGATATAAAAGAGTAGATTAAGCATACAGCAAAAGAGCAGGAATGGAGAACAATGGACTCCATGTCACATGAAGATCACCAAACACAAAGAAGCTGAAGAGACCTTCCCCCAGAGCCAATAGAGACTGCTTTCCTTAGAAGAGGTATTCTGAAGTCAGACTGCTAGCTGTCTGCTTCTGTAAAGATTTATAGTCTTGGAAACCCTATATAGGATTGCTACAAGTAGTAATGGACTCAGGGTGGGAGCCTCCTAAGCTGTGAGAAAATAAATTTGCTTGTTACAGCCACCCACTTGTGGTATTTCTGTTATAGCCTCACTAAATAACTAAGACAGCCAGCAAATGTCAAAACCAGAATTTGAGCCTGAACCCTCGACTTCAGAGTCTGGATACTCTGACCCACGACATCCCATGCTCCTCCATGAAGAGTGAGGAGAGGCAAAGTGGAAGAGGAAGGCATGGCCACTCTCTCTGAACCCGTCAGTCCATGGACTGTGCTGTCGATGGCAGATTCTGACAGTGTCTTCTCATCCAGGAAATGCTCCCCACAGTGGACATGGGTTTGTGGGGTAGATTTCAGTTACTGATGGGTATCATCAACCACGGAAGTATCCGTAAAAACAATATGTTATTAGGACTGTAGCTTGGAAAGTCTGTGATAATCTAAGATTCTCTGAAATATGATTATCAAATACTAACCTGAATCCTATCTAAATCTTTTAGCATGATCCATCTTGCAGAGCCCAACGGCACACATAATGAGAATACAAGACTACCCTAAACTGAAAAACGAGCCAGAGACAAGCTCTTGAAGAACATTCTTGAGGAAAAACAAGTAATGCTCACACGCTGGATAATTCCATCCACAGAGAAACTTTCAGTATTTCTACCATTTCGGTTACCACTCCTCTGTCTGTTTGCAGTACACTGAGGCCTTGTGTGTTGCTATGATGCTGGAAACCATACCACCAGCATTTCAAATACTAGCAGGGTCACATGGTGGGCAGGTTTCAGTGGAACTTCCAGACTAAGACAGACTGGGAAGAAAGGTCTGACAATCTATTTCCAAAACCAAGCCAATAAAAACCTGTGGATCACAACAGTACATTTACTGTCCAATGTAGCGCCGGAAGATAAGCCCCTAGGTTGGAAGACACCATATAATAAATAGCCACAATAGATTCAAATACACCAGTGATTATGAGAAAAGGCACAGGATCCGATAATGTTTCATTCTGTTATACTTAAGGTTGCAACAAGTTGGAATTGACATCACTTTCAGAACCAAACCACCAAGAATATGCACTACCTCCCCAATGCCTTCCCAAACCTGGCCCTGAAGACAGGATTTGTCAACAGGGCATATTCTACCTCAAAGTAAGCCAGCATGCCATGCTCTGCCTACTGGGAGGTTTCAGAAATGAGACCAGAAGACTTTACAGACTGATATATAGCTCAAGTAAGACACAATAGAATAAACATTATAGCTGCAAAATGATTTGTAGTCTTGACACAATAGCTGAGTCTGATTCTCATTCCCCTTCATAACATTCACTTTGTTTCTTCTTAAATCTACCTCTCTCTCTCTCTCTGAGGATGAAGACTCGTGGGTGGTAGCAGACAGGATGAAATATTCAGCCTTGTGCATATTACACATAGTTCAGTTATCCAAGGAGAAAATAAATTGACAGGGAATGGTATTTGTACTGAAGAATCAGAATATATCACATTAAGATACCCTGCCAATGATTTCCCCAAAATGATGATTTGCCAGGCAATCTCTCTATACATTTTTCCTCATGTAATTTTGAACCATTGTGAACTCTAGCTTTTGACTGGATGGCTATACCTGAACTCACTCTGCACCGAGAACTGGCTGTAGGGATTTTAAGACTGGGGACAGGTCACCGAAGTGATAGGCAAAGCCCTGTGGCTTGGTGCTCCATCTTACCAGTGGAGTCCGCTCCGGAAGCCCTGCCACTCGTCTGCTCCTCAGCATTGATGAACTGCAGGTCTGTGTATGAAGGACCAAAGCTAGGACTGCTGGTGTCTCCAGAATGCGTAGTCCAGCTGCTCTCGGAAGCTAGAGGGCATCTCCCCAGAGAGTTGAGAGAAGGGCATGTCCAGCATGGCATGGTCAAAGGTGGGGCTAGAGACAAAAGCCAACGTTGTACAATATAAATAATTGTCCATGGTTATCTTTAGTGCGTGCCTTACTTTGATGTCACTCTGTCCCATGCAATCTCAACAACCATGCAAAGTATCACTCGTGATCCAGAGAGAGTCAGTATAAAAAACAGGTATCATGACCACAAATCAAAGAAAATCCCACTAAAGGGCTAAAACTGATTTTAACATCTAATTTTATTTTGAAATTTAGATTTAAGCTTCATTCAAACCCAAATACAAGTTGCACTTTCTGCCTTGTCACTTACTGTTCAGCTAGTTCTAACTCATGGTGTTGCCCTGTGTGTGGAGTAGAATTACTTTATAGAGCTTCAGGGTTGTGACCTTTTGGACACAGACCAGTAGGCCTCTTCCTTGAGTTGTCGCTGGGTAGGTTGGAACTGTCAACCTTTTAGCCAGCAGTCAAGTGCTTAACCATTTGCACCACCCCGGGACTCCTGGTTTCATCCTTACCCTGTTACTTCCTCAATATTTAATGGCATACCAACTATCTCAAGAAAACACTCATTAACACTGTAAAACTGGAGCCAGACTTGGTTAGGTGTAAGAATAGGTGAATATATACAAATACATATATGATACACCTCTGCTTACTTTAAATGTGATGATAACTGGCGAGGCTACAGAAAACAAAGAAACAGAGTAGAACAGTGCTCAACAGAATTTCAATGACAGCTCTTTCATAAGGAGATGCCCAGGTCTTCTTCTAAGGGGCCTCTGGATGGAGTCCAACTATCAAAAAGTTGGTTAGCTCCAAAGACTCTATAGACCTTTACATACACAAATAGTGTTTTACTGATATTCACAGTAAAAATTTTTGGCAAACTAGGAACAGAAAAGACTCCCTTAATCTAATAGAGGTCTAAAAAACTTATACAGTAAACCTCATGCAAGGTTAGAAAACTCTCCGTTTGAGATCCAGATCAAAAGCTAATGTTCATTATCCCATTTCTAGTCAACATCATGTTGATCAGAGCCTGCACATGAAGACAGGATTGCAGTGAGAGAAACAGACTCTCATTATTCACAGATGAGCTTTGTGTGTCCACAAAGTAACCAACCAAAAGGCCCACTGATAATTTGTCAAATAAATAATTTTAGAAGGTATCTGTGATTAAAAAATGAAAAAAGAATTGCAGTTCTAAAAAACTAACAAGAAATAACTTAGAAAATGAAATTTAAAACAAAAGAACATTTATAATAACAAAAGTATGAGCATACACAGTCATAAATCTACAAAACATATGCAAGGCTTGGAGGAAATTATTATAAAGCTTCACTAACAGTAGAGAAAATCTAAATAAATGAAGAGATAAATTGTATTAAGGGACTGAATGACTAACTGTTGTAAAGGCTAACTCTCACCAGATTGGTTTATAGATTTACTACAATCTCAATAAAAACCGTAGCATGGCTTTATTCCCACATGAACAAAATGATTCTAACATCTATATGAAAGCACAGACAGTCAAAAACAGCCAAGATACATATTTAAAAAAGAATAATTTCTTTATAATGTGCAATGAGTGAAGGTTTGCAGAGCAAATGATCAGTTTTGCATTTAACACAGATATACTTTACTTCATCTCAATGAACCCAATTCCCTCATTGTAACATCATTATCCTAGTTCCTCCCTCTGTTTCTTGTTTCCATTCCTGTCTCTCCCAACCCTTCTGAACTTTGTCTTTGAGTAAATGCTGCCCTTTTGATCTTGAGTGGCTGGCCATTCTATGGTGTGTTTCTCTCACTAGTGTTGTCCTCCCTCCATACCTGTCTATTGCTTGGCTAGAAACTGATTCTCAGTGGTGAGTTCAGTTCCCGACCTGAAAGCTCACCAAGGGCAATAGTTTTGGGGTTCCATCAGTCTCTATCTGATCAGTAAGCCTGGTTTTTTGTTTTTTTTTTTAATGATTTTGAGTTTTGTTTCATTTTTCTCCCACTGTATCCAGGACCTGGTATTTTAACCCTTTTGGAGTAGCTGGTAGTGGTGATCAGGCACCGTCTAGTTCTGGTCTCAGGGTCGTGAAGATTGATGTTCATATGGTCCATCAGTCTACTACACTAACTGCTTCCAAGAATCTTCCATTGTCAACCCTTTTTGCTCCTTTGGATTGGGAGAGGCCAATAGTTACTCTTTAGATGGCTGCGCAAGAGCTGCCAAGATACACTTTTAAGGGAGAATAAGGTGTGAGTCGTTAATTTTAAGCTAAATAAACCAAGATTTATTATTACGTTAAAGTGCTGAAGCTGAGGGAAAATGGGTCATTGATAGGAAAACAGACCAGCGTAATACAAACACCGGACCCAGTGTCATCGAGTCAATTCGGACTCATGATGACCCTGGAGGGCAGAAGAGAACTGCCCTCTATGGCTTCCAAGACTCGAAGTCTTTATGGGAGCAGACAGCCATAGTTTCTCCTCCTTTGGCATGGCTGATGGGTTTGAATCACTGACCTTGTGGTTAGCAGCCCAATTTTTAACCCAGTATACCACCAAGTCTCCTTCAACCAATGTAATTTTTGTTGTTGTTGTGTGCCATTAAGTCGGTTCCAACTCATAGTGACCCTGCTCAGGGTTTCCGAGGCTGCAAATCTTTACAGGAGCAGAAAGCCTCATCTTTCTCCCGCAGAACAGCTGGTAGTTTCAAACTGCCGACCTTGAGGTTAACATTCCAATTCGTAACCACTACGCTACCAGAGCTCCTTAATAGAGGGCTCCAAAAGAAGTTCATACATATTTAGTTATGAATGAAGTTCACTTTTTAACAAAATAGTATTGGGAAAATTGGGTATCTACATAGAAAAATGGGAAATTAGACTCATACTTCACACCATATAAAAAAAAATCAGTTCCAGGTGAACTGAATATCCAAGAATGAAAGGCAAAACAAGAAATATTTAGACTATAATTATAGCTAAATATGTTCATGAACTTTGGATAGAGGGAGTTTATTAAGCAAATACAAAAAGCACTAAGCATAAAAGATAAGAAATCATTTCATTACAATTAAGAATTTGTTTTCCCCAAAAGACACCAAAAATAGAGTGAAAAGGAGGTATCTGCCACACAGGGTATCCACAGAAACTCCTGCAAGTCATCAAGAAAAAAAGCAAAGAACCGAACAGAATCTACTTAAATAGGCATTTCAGGATAGAAGACATCCAAATGGCCAATCAACAAGAAAAAAAATCTCATTAGTAATCTAGGAATTGCAATTAAAGTTCCACGTAATACCATTACCGCCCACCCCACCCCCAGCCCCTGTCACACGGGACTGACAAAACTAGAAAACAATGACAATCCCAAGAGTGGGTGAGGATGTGGAACCACCGAATCTATCACACATGACTGGTATTACAAAATGATGTGGTGTTATCTGATAATGCTGAAGACCAACACACCCTAGCTCATTGCCATCAGGTTGATTCTTTCTCATAACAACACACTGTTATTGCTGTTAAGTGCTGTCGAATTATTCAGACTCACAGTGACCCTGGTTAGGGTTTCCAAGGAGCAGCCAGTGGGTTTGAACCACTGACCTTGTGGCTAGTAGCTCAGTGCATTTCTATTGAGCCACACCAGGATTCCCTAGGACAGAGCTAAACTTCCCCATAGAGTTTCCAAAGCTTTCATCTTTACAGAAACTGTCACACCTTTCTCCCACTGAGTAGCTGTTGGATTCAAACTACCATCCTTCTGGTTAGCTGTCAAGTACTTAACACTGTGCCACCAGGGCTCTACCGAACACACGTTACAGCACTGCAATTCTACTTTTTCATACATGAGAACCACAAGCACATGGTCACATGTGTTAAAAAATTTTTAACGCATTGCGTTAAAAATGCTCCAAGAAACTAAAAAAGTGCATACAGAAGACTTGCTCTTACTGGCCAAAAAGTAAAATCAATTTAGCCAGCAACAATAATAAGTAAACGGTAGTATAATACTACAAATATTATTATATGTACAATTTTTTAATCACAATAAACTACAAGTAGATGTATAGACAGACATAAAGCTAAGCAAGTGTGAGACTGAGTATGGGACTAAACCCACAAATACATATAGATCTGACAGAGGATATTTCTACTATGTACGTAATGTAGTGGTTACGAATCGGTCTGCTAACCTCGAGGTCGGCAGTTTGAAACTACCAGCCGTTCCACAGGAGAACGATGAGGCTTTCTGCTCCTGTAAAGATTTACAGCCTTGGAAACCCTGTGCAGGGTCACTATGAGTTGGAACCAACTCCACAGTACTTAACAACAACAAACACTTAAATTTATCTATACCCACATATATCACACCATGAATATGATGGAAGACACAGTGGGCAAAGTTATGAAAACTTCTTAGCCATAATCAAACACTCTGAGAGAATGAGTCACTGGGGCTTGGAGGAGATAGCAAGGTCAACTGGCGTAGAATAATCCACAAGCACAATGTGCTAAATTCAACTTTGGTGAGCAGCAACTGGGGTCTTATAAATAAATAAAAATAAAGGAACTAAAGTTATAGGTAAGCACATGGGAAAAATCTCATAAGCATAACATTGTGTTAAAAGAACGGGTCACAAAATAATCAATACAGCATCATTCTGTCTATAAAGTTCAAAACCAGGCATAGCTAGGAAACGCTATGGTAAAGCTGTCAAGAAAAGCAAGGCAGTTATTATCACAAAGCTCGAGAAGGTGGTGATATTCGGGGAAGGCAGGAGATGTGATGAAGGAGGAAGTCGCAATTGGTATGGAAACAAGGGAACTTCCGGGAGATGTTTATTAAGCAGGATGATGAACTATGCTGGTGTTCCATAATAACACACATTTAAAACATGTTCCTTTGCTTTTTATTTAACAGTCAAAAAAACTTATTAAAACCATATTTCAAAAATGATTCCAAATGCTCAGAAAGGAAGTTATCTTACTGATATTTTCACATTGCCCCTTTACATTTATTACATA